CATCCACTGATAAGATGACTGGAGATCGTTATCTTCTCGTCCTTTATGAATGTCTATTTCGATTTCTTTATGGTATACTTCCTCTTCCAACATTTGCAGAGTTTTCTTGCATTGCTTTCTTTCAATCTCAAAGTCTTGTTTTGCCAACTCTAATGGAGATGGTGTAATTCTCAAATGTTATGTGATAGGTTGAACATTCTCAAAATTAACCATTGGGATGTTGTTGTTGATTCGGCTAATCCTCCATTGTTCGTATTCTTGTGAAAGCTTTTGACTGAAAGTGAATAAATTTACTCGATGAATCCATTTGCAAGCCTCAACAACTTTTCTAATTTTATCCTTGTACTGATCACTTCTAAATGCAAACTCTTATTCAAATAGATCCGATGTTGCAGGAATAAACTGTCTTGATCCATATTGTCTGAAAACCATCAAAGGTGTATATCCTATGGAACCCCAAATACCAGGTAGCAGAACCCAATCTTGCTCTCCACATTTATACAGTATATTTGAAGAAGTATTCCATAAGGCTAGCCATAACATGTCACTATCTTTGAGATTTTGAAAGATGCTCATCCATTTTTCTTCATCGTAACCTCCGGGCCATTTTTGAGAAAGGAAATCTTGTAGAGGTGAAAAATCTTCCAAAAATACTCGACCAGGTGCTATTTTCTCGTGCTTAAGATGATTCAGAATCCATACCAACAGCAAAGGTGCACAACCTATAAAACGTCTATCTCCTTCACGTTTGCAGGGATTCAAGGAACGAAATGTTTCAACTAAAATAGCAGGAATCAGATCTGCATTCTTGTTCAATCTTTAAAATAGGTCCACATTTGATATATCTGCATACCCCATGATCTTCGGAAAAATGACCATTCCATAAGTACCTAAAGCTAACATATCAATCTTCTTTCTTTTATCTGGATGGCGGTAGATCACTTGTCTCAGAGCAGTCCAAGTGATACATTCAATATCACCATTCTTTTTGATATTTCTTGCGGCCCACTCTTCACTCATTCCAATTAGTAATAACACTTTCTTCTTAAAAAGAGCAGTATTAGGTGACTTGATATATACCCTGTCTTCATTAGATCTCAGACAGTGAATAAAAGCTCGATATTCCTCCACAGTAGGTGTCAAATCTACTTTGCCAAAGGTGAAGCAACTGTAGGCAGGGTTCCAAAATTGTGATAATGCTCTGAACAAATGCTGGTCAATACGAATGTCTAAAAGATAAACAATGTCACCATATAGTTGATAAAATAGTTGCTTGTCAATCGCTTCCCATTTTCCCTAGATTTCTTTCAATTCACTCAAATTATTTTGGCGGGCATTGATATGTATATATCTGATCAGGTCTGACATGTACGCCGATGATAAGATATATCTTTTGATAAGTTGAGACTGCTCAGACCATCTTAAAACAACTGCATTGCCTTCTACTTCATATTGGAATCTTTGTTCCATATTTCTAGTTTTCTATATGAAATCGATCATGAATCAACACCATGGTATGAAAATGCAGAATGCAGAATGAAAATAAAACATAAAATTAATCAAGAATAATTAGTAAATCCTAACTTCATGCCATCTAGTTTTATACTTATTTAGAACAACAAACCTAACCACATGATTTCTAGTTCACATGTATTTATTAAAAAAATATAAAAGTAACAATTTAAAGACCAAACCAGCTTTTCCTTGTGTGCTAATTCTTAAAATACGTAATCGGTTTAGGTTCTGCTTAGATTCAAGTTCTAGGTTTACTATATGTTGGGTTTTGGTTCTAAGGTAAAAGGGTCAACGAATTGTCCTTTGTTGGTGCCCCCTTAGACTGCCAAGCCCTCAATCCTAGTCCATTATAGACTTTTGGATCAAGTTCAATTCAAAGGAACATACTTCCTTATGTCCATACGGTGGTGAAAACCACACGAGGAACATAAGGTGTGAGCTCAAAGAATGGTCCCCTATCCCATACGGAGGTGAAAACCACACGAGGGAGTAGTTTCTCATTCGAACTAAATAGGATAAGAGCGGGGTTTTAGCTCATGTCATGAATGCAGTGCACAGTGGGTGAGGAAAATTATAAACAAATAAAAATAATGTACAACCTATTATTCTATTCTAAAAAAATTTAATTAAATCTGTACACATAAAAAACAAATTAGTATAATTAATAAAATAATTAAGGGAAAAAAATTAAAACAAGTTTATAATTTTATTGCAAAGACAAAATATTAATAAACTGGTGGCTTGACTCTCTTTTAAAAAGTCCCCAGCAGAGTCGCCAAGCTGTCGAGACGTTTCCTTGCCCGGCGACGGAGAGTGCAAATAGTACACCTAAGTGTAGCTAGTCTAGAAAAAAATAAGTGTTTATCGTCCTTGAATCAGATAAAACACTAAGTTGTAGAGTCACCACCAATCTTTTAATGTGGTGAGATTGGTCATCAAAATGTTATATTATTATAATAAAATTCCTGAGAATAAAATTAAAATAATACAACAAAGGGTGCTTACCAGAAAAATGAGTTCGGGAGTCGGTTACGTATGGGGAAGGATTAACACCCCCATAACGCCCAAAATTGGTACAGATGTTTATTAATTGATTTGTCTTTGCAATAAACTAATAAATTTATATTTAATTTTATCATATAAATAACTTAAAATAAAGAACTCTTTAATAGTATTTAATATATCATATTTTAAATATAAATAAGCCTATATAAAATATTAAAACTAAATAGATTAAACAATAAAATTATCCTAATATGAATGTAAATACTAATATTGTAATTAATCATATAATAATAATTAATGATTAAAATATAAAAATTAAAATTAATTAACATAATTTAAAATATTATTAAAACTATGTACTAATAATGTAATTTACCTTAAATTATTATATAGGTCAGAATATAAATTATTAAAAATATTAAGGATTAAATATGATATTTATCCTAATATATATATATACAATAGTGACCAAAACATAAATAAATAAAATGCAAAGACTAAATTAAAATGCATAAAACATGCTTTTAATGACTAAATTACAAGGTCACAAAGTTATAGGGACATAGGGAATAATTTACCCTTAACCAAAATTACACACAGGTCCCTCCATAAAACGACGCCGTTCGGGGAGGGGTATATATAGGCCCTAGACCGACCTAAAGAGGCTTCAAACCTCATTTTCACTCTTTGTTTCTCTCTTAGAGAGAAAAGCTCTCGCATCTCTCTAGATTTCCCTCACGGGAGGGAGATCGTCCCCGGCCAGCCACCATGCGCAGTCGCCGATAGCCACGGTCGACCACCACCCATGGTGGCCGGAAATTACCCGAATACACCAAAATAATGCCCGAATCAACATAAAGCCGAATCCGACAGCCTTTTATTCTAACAACCCCTAAATCAACGTAGATCTAAGATTTTTTACCTTCGAAGTTCGACTTCTCTGGCGGCGCGTGGAGGCGCGTAGATGCTTCGATGAAGGTAAGGCTTCCTTTACTATTTTCTCTCAATATTTTGTTGGTTTGGTTGTTGTGTATTGGGTGCTTGTTCCTTTTTGTTGTTGTTCTTCTCCTTGCAGGATCAATGGGCTTTTATAGCCTCCTCTGTTACACTGTTTGGACCGGTTAATAGAGTGTTACCACCGTGAGTCACTGACGCCAGACAGAATAGTGATTATCCTGTAGGCTAGCTCCGACAGACGATTCACAAGAGAAAATTCGCCCAAAAACCAGAGAAAAAAAGTCTCTAGGGTTTAATAAAATATTATAAAATCAATAACTGTCAAAAGCAGTCCACAAGCCGGACTGTTATAGCTAAAAAAATCGTCTTTATTCGAATTTTGCCAAAAATAGCAAAAATCGTATTTATTCGAATTTTGCCAAAAATAGCAAAATCCCGAAAATCACTCTAAATTGAAATTCGAAATAAAATAAGCAATCTCCCAAAAATCCGGTCTAAATCGGATTTAAATTGACTTCCTAATTAACAATCGAAATATTACCATAAATAGTAAAAAATAACTAAATCTAGTGATTCGGAGGGGAAAACGGCAGAATTTGAGGTTGAAAAAAAGGCCACATGGAGCCAAAGTTATGGCCAAAAGACTGAAACATACTCAAAACGACCCCAATAAGGAACATGTCACAATCAATTCCCGCCTTTGCGCTGATCTGCCAACTCATGGTATCTCAGCGCCATCAACGTGCAATCTGACAGCTCAGCATCATCTGTCTCAGATCCCCCTGCATCAGTCATCAAGGCCATGGCAGTGACTCACCTAGGGGTGGTCAGTTGTTCGGTGGACGGGCTGGGTGCATTAAATGAACCCAGCTCTCGCGAATCCGGAGAGGACGTGGCAGCTGCTGGTTGGAGGCGGCAGCGGCGAGGGCATTATCACTTCTATGGCGGCGGCCGGAATAGCCCTAGGGTGTAATGAGAACCCTAGGGTTCTTGCTAGTCACATTTAGGGTCGTTGGACCTCTTCAGATCCAATGATGATGATCTGTTGCGGTGTTGGAACATGTGTGAAACCCTAAATCAAACTTGGGTATGCTCCTTGAGCCTGTTGGGCTGTTCGGGTCAAACCTGGGTCGAAACTGGGTCTGGTTGGGATTTGGTTGTGACCAGGCTTCGGGTTGTAATTTATTTGTATTTGGACCTTCGGGTTGTAATTGGGCCTGTAACAAAATTTTAATGATTATAAATAATAATAATAATAAAAACAAAACAAAATTATAATAATATATTTATAATAAAACTCGGACGAAAATGATTGTCGACAATGTGTCTAGAGAACAAAAAAGACATATATCACTAGTATTTCTAAAAAGAGGTATCAACCTGACAATTATGCAATTTAAACAATGTTCGAAAAGTCAGGTTTTCTAGATAAAGGATTGGATTTGGGCAGAGTGAAAACTAGAAGGGAATCGGATTCACATGTTAAACAGATGACACATGAATAAAAAACAGACAAGTCGTACCTTCATGACCTCTCTCTCGGATTTATAAAGAGGGTCTCGAGGTGCATCAATGGGCGGTTCTGTAACGTTGTAGCAGCTATAATCACTCACTGCACAACGGATGTACTGCAATTTTGACATGAACATAGTCGGCCCATTATTGAAAACAAATCAAAATAATAATTCAAAGGATGCCAGTTTTGACTAGCCATGCCCAAAAAGGTCAAATGATGAACAAAAATATAATGAGACAGCGAGTATAATACACAATTCAAATCTATGACATTATAGATGCACCAACTTTACATAAGGAATCAGAACTTTTATGACTTACAAGGAAAAAGAACAATTACACACTACCTTTTGAGGCATTGGAGCCAAAACTTTGGGAATAGAATACACATCTGTATCCGGTGGAGTGACATACATATAGAAAAACCATACAAAAAAATAGAAATAAAAATCAAAGTTAAACACTGAAAGTAGGATAGAGGAGGACCCTCAAGTCAATCAACCAATAGAACACATGAAACTGAGATCATTTGTGCAATCCAACAGAGTAAAGTTGGTTTGCCAGATGCATCGGTGAGCTACTTAAAAAAAAGAATTAAACGTCAAAAAGGTGCTCAACGTATGACTTTTTTTTCCAGTTTGGTGCCTAATTTTTTTTCGTTTCAGTTTGGTGCCTAACGTTTTATTCCGTAACTTAGTTTGGGCCAGGCCGTGACGGACCGTTAAGTGACACGTGTCACAACCTAGTAATTATAAATTTTTTATTTAAAATTAAAATATATATATATATATATATATATATATTTTAAAAAGAAAACACAAAATTTGAAATAAACCCAAAATTTTGAAAACCTCATTTCAACCCCTAAACCCATGCTGGCCACCGCCTTTTTCCGTTGATGAAGCTCCACTAGACTTCACCTCCCCTCAATGACCAAAACCCCCATTAAATCGTGACTGATCGACAATCGATCGATGACGAATCAACGTTTTATACCCCACAAAACCTAGGATGAAAATCGCGATCCCACGCGATTCCGACAACCAATCGGTCACGATTTCATAGGGGTTTTGGTCATGGGGGGAGGGGAGGTCGGGTGGAGCTTCGTTGATGGCAAAAGGCAGTGATCGGCGTGGGTTTAGGGGTTGAAATGCAAATTTTCAAAGTTTTGGGTTTATTTTAAAATTTGTGTTTTCTTTTAAAAAAATATATAATTTTTTTTAAATTTTATATAAATTTTTTTAAAATTATCAAGCTGTGACACTTGTCACTTAACGGCCAAACTTAACGGTCTGTCACGGCCTGACCCAAACTGAATTACGGAATAAAACGTTAGACGCCAAACTGAAACGAAAAAAAAATATTAGGCACCAAACTGAAAAAAAAGACATACGTTGGACACCTTTTTTACGTTTAAGCATAAAAAAATATGGGTTTAAACTGAGGAGCAGATATAGGCTGCTTTACGGTAACTAACTAACAAAGGTATAAGAGCAACTATGACAAGAACGAGTCAACGTAATCATCAGGTCAATAAATTAATAGGCTACAGGTGAATACTGAAAGCAGGGAAACTGCGAGAATATCACAGCACATGAAACTGAGACTATTTGTGCAAGTAAATTTGGTTTGCCAGAGGTGAGACTGCAACACTACGAAAAAGGGTTTATACACAGAGAGGGGAGGAGGCGGACTCCTTTGTAGTTACAACTTACAAGCAAAGCGAATGAGAGCGGGGACAAAGAAAAATATTTCACTTATGGGACCTAAAGGTGAGAAGCCTTGCAGAAAATAGCTATTCCAATTATGCAAGTTTTTCACACACAAGGCCTCCAGTAAATGAAGCTTTCTCATGGACTATTAAAATAAAGTTTGAATGTTGAGGAACAATGTTTCGGATTCAAGAATGTCCCGAGTATTTCTGTTCTGTTATAAACTTATACCGTCGTCTTTTTCATAAAAGCTAAAAAAAATACGTTAATGAAATGAAAACCAGTGAAAGTACATCAGAAAATCCAGAAATAATAATTCAACACAAAGTTTAAGCAAAACCATATCCAAAAAGCTATTAAAAGTAACGCAAAATGACCAGAAGTGACTAACATCCCTGAAATCATAAACATCATTATCGGGTCTGGTGGCTTCCGAATAAAAAAATCACAATCCATCAAGCTAATCTTATGGAACTCCTCCTCATTTATCCTATAATCCACCACCATATCCGAGTCCCACCCTTGAGTCGACACGAAGCTCTTGCTTTTAGTAATTCAATGTCGACATCAACCGTAGCAGAAAAAGCGGCACCAACATAGGTGGCGGCCAAAGGGTCGTATTCAATGTCGAAGTCTTTCTTGTTGTCGAGTTCTTCAACTTCTTATTCGTCCATGTTGTATTCATCGAGTCCTCCGGAATCGGCATCGTCGTCGTCAACCCATACGAGGAAGGATGGTTTAAGAGTAGGAGTTAAGGGGGAGTGTAGGGGTTTAGATCTGAGAGAAGGAAAGGGAAGGGAAGGGAAGGGAAGGACAAAGTGATTGAGATGAAGGTGATGGAGGGAGGAGTGTTTTGCGGCGACCAATAGCGAGGAGGAGAATAAATTGGCGGAGGCGGTGGCCATAGTGGCAGGAGTGCGGGGGAGATGAGAGTACCGAGTTTAGATTAGATTTTGGGTAAAGTATAGTAATGGTCACTGAACTTTTCTAAAGCTTTCATTTAGGTCCCCTAACTTTTAAAACTTACAGTACAATCCCCTAACTTTTAGTCTATTTGCAATATGGTCCCCCAACATTTAGTCTATTTGCAATATGGTCCCCGACGTAACCGGCCGTTTGACGCTGTTACACTGCTATTAGTACATTTGCAATATGGTCACTGAACTTTTCAGGCGCTTGTATTTAGGTCCTCTAACTTTTACAACTTATAACACAACCCTAAATTTCATTATAAACCCTAAATTCCTTTTCCTTTTCCATCTCTAATTTCCTTTTTCGTTTTTTCTTCTCATTTCTAGTGTAACTTTTTAGTCAGGGATGCACGGGAAATTCTAATATAACTTTGAACTATGTGGAGGTGTTGACTTGAATAAGGGTCCACTGAGAGAAGACCCGACCAAGGGACTATCGGGACCATCAACGATTCAAGGTGTAATGTTAGATACATGTCATCTCAGGTGAAGTATAGATGTTCGATGAAATGCTTATGAGAAAAAAATGGGGTTAGAAATGGAGAGTTGACAAATACTACTAAGATGAACTAAGTATCATTGTTGAAAGTCACCAATAAAGCTGGAATTATTTTGTATAAATGGCATATAATAATTTATTCGTTTAATCCTTGTGCTTAAGATTTTCCAATAGATGATCAAATATAATGAAATCTCAAACAGCGCATTCACCTCTCGTTTGGTTTTTGTTCTTCAATTTTCCTCCATGTAAAATTGTAAACCCAAGTAGTGCTTTGTCTTTCAGATTTTTATTTACAAAGAAAAAATAGAGGAAGAATTGCTGGAACGCAACACTGATTGCGTTTATTTCTTAGCCTCTCCCCTCACTTACAAAAATATATTTATTTTCTCTTTTGGGCTATCCGAAAGTAAGCTTTTCCTCTTTCTCACTTTCCCATTTTCAGCTCGCATTGTGTGTTTTTTGTTGAAAATTTTATGTTTCTGGAACTACATGTCAATGATCTGGATATTCAGTGTTAGTTTTGAACCAAAACCATCTAATTTTCTTTCTTTCTTTCTTATTAATCAAAACTTTTAGTACTCATGAAAGATATTCAGTCCATTAGAATAGAAGTGAAATAGGGTCCTAGGCTAAATTTTTTTGATCTTCTTGTTTGGTTTTTCTTTAAATCAAGGAATTGGTTGTGAGTATTAACATAGTGAAATCGCTAGACTCAATCCGAGAGTTATGGTACTAGTTTACTGGGTATTGTATTGATCTAACATGTGGTTTTCGACTTCCTCTGAGCTCGTATTCTTTTAAATAAGTTCATGTTGATTATAGGACTAATATATCATGAATGAATTACTTTTTTTACATGTTTTGGATATTTTACAGTTGAATTGTATTGAATTATAGCTTTAGAAGACAATTATACATGCACGCAACTCAAAAGGCATCATGACATGGTAGTATATTTGAAGATACTGGTTGACCCTGTCATGATGCCTTTCGAGTTGCAAAAGAGACTGAGAGGTGAATTCCCTGTTTGGGATTTCATTATATTTGATCATCTGTTGGAAAATCTTTAAGCACAAGGATTAAACGAAGAAATTATTATATTCCATTTATACAAAATAATTTCAGCTTTGTTGGTGACTTTCAATAATGATACTTAGTTTATCTTAGTAGTATTTGTCAACTATGCATTTCTAACCCCATGTTTTTCTCACAAACATTTCATTGAACATCTATGCTTCACCTGAGATGACTTGTATCTAACATTACACCCTGAATCGTTGATGGTCCCGATGGTCCCTTGGTCGGGTCTTCTCTCAATGGACCCTTATTCAAGTCAACACCTCCACATAATTCAAAGTTAGATTAGAATTTCTCATGCATCCCCGACTGAAAAGTTAGGCTAGAAATGAGAAGAGAGAAACGAAAAAGGAAATTTGATATGGAAAAGGAATTTGGGGTTTATAATGAAATTTAGGACTGTGTTGCAAGTTTTAAAAGTTGGGGGACCTAAATGCAAGTGCCTAAAAAGTTCAGTGACCATATTGCAAACGTACTAATGGCAGTGTAACAGAGTCAAACGTCCGGTTATGTCGGGGACCATATTACAAACAGACTAAATGTTGGGGGACCATATTGTAAACGAACTAAATGTTGAGGGACTGTATTGTAAGTTTTAAAAGTTGGGGGACCTAAATGAAAGCTTTAGAAAAGTTCAGTGACCATTACTATACTTTACCCTTAGATTTTTGGATCAAGACATCTTAAAAACATTTGTTTTTGCCAAAACGGCACCTAGGCCCATGTACTTTTAAAAAAAATCCAATATGACCCTCATACAATTATTTTTCTCAATGTGACCCTCCAACTCAGAAAACAAACTCAATGTGGTCTTTAGACTAATGTTTTTCATCATTGACCATTACAATGATGATGTGACAGTCCTCGATGCTGATGTGACAGTCCATTGTAGCTGATGACATGACAGATGGGCTAAATTAGTTTTTTTTTGGTTTTTTTCAAGGGTGATATTGATTTTTTTTAAAATTTCAAAGACTTATTTAATTTGTTTGAAAAATAAAAAGTATTTTAAATTATGAATATTGATATATTACATATACATATTATCAATACTTATACAAAATATTTTTACTGGATTAATTGAGAATTACAAAATTTAAATTAGTCGAGACTTATAATTTTTGGACTAGTATAAACTTATTATGTTTTCTAAT